CATATATACGTATTGATTAGGAACACTTTGCAGGGTAAAGATAGCAGTGAGGAGGAAGAGCTAGATGATGTTCCTGATGATGATCAGTATGATACGCCATATAATTATAAATATTTAAAATTATAAAAAAAAAATTAAAAGAAAACCAATAGGGTCTTTGTGTAATCCTTTTTCTACATTAGGCATACCTATTAAAAAAATTTTGGGCCATAGTTTTTTAAGATCCAATAAAATTATTAACGAATTTTAGTGATTCAATAATTATGTTTATTTACTGAAAATAAAAAAATTTGAATTCAATTTACATGATATATAAAAAAATAAAATAACTAACAAAAAATAATTATATCTCCTTATGTAATTAAAATATAAAAAAATCTTATAAAATTATCCAAAAAAATAATTTTTAATTTTTGCAAGTTCCAGTCTCGTCATGTCAACACTTCAATTTTCTAGACAAAAGTCACAAAACCTAGAACTGGAACTTAAGCCTTAGGTAATTAACTACTTTTTACAGCGTCAGAAATAATCATGCTTACAAAACCGAGACTGGCGAGGGGAGTGGTACATGCTCGATGCTCCTCTCATTGTCAGAGGATGATTGTACCTTCAATCCACAAACACGTTCACTTCCAAACAGTTGTTCTAGATTACGTAATTTTATGCATATTTAATTGAATAATCATTTTACCAGTGGTTATAATTATAATTAATAATAACTAATATTTAAAATTGATATGATTTGGATTATAAATAATTTGAATACTCATGTTCAAAAAAAAAATAATAATAATTTGAATACTCGTCACTAAGTAATTTTTAAATTATTAAAGTAAATAGAAAAAATACTAATCTATAAGTTCAAATTGAGTGAATTAGTTCGTTACTTTTTTTTAAATAAATATCAAAATAATAATATTTTAAGTTTTATATCTAAATTTTTTTATCTTTAATTTTTTTTTGTTCAAAAGAATATGTAAATACATAAAAAAAATATTAATATATAAAAATTTTATCAAATTGATTATAAATAAATAGAGTTTATGATTTTATAATTTAGATCATATTATACACAAAATAAAAATATTATAATTATAGATAATAAATTTATAATATAATATGATACATAATTATATAATTAATTTTTATTAAAAATATATTTATAATATTATATATTTTTTGAATATGGAGAAAATTTGGAAGAAAAAGAATATACTTTGATCAATTACACCTCACTACTTAAAATTTGTCGATGAAGCATTATATCCAAAAGTTTGATTAATATATTGATTTATTTAATATTATATTATAATTATAAATTTATAATTTTATATAATATTATAATTATAATATTCTGCTGCACAAAATTAATATTGATAATAAGGGTGGAACACGGATCAAACTACGGGTCCCAACCCGACCATCTATTTAACCGGAACGTCATATCCCAGCTAGAGTACATACAATACAAGTTCCCCGTATAATTTGTTCGGTTCCGGAAAATTAAACCCCAAAAAGTCCAGATAAAATAAAGGAAATTAAACGCAAAATGCTAGAAAAATAATTCCAGTTTTTAAAAAACCCTCAAAAAAAAGAAAAAAAAAAAAGGGGGAACGGTTTTCTTCATTCCGGCAGTCCCTCTCTTTTCTCTCCCAATCAAGTGCCCTACCTCGATTTCACTCAAATTGATTCTTCACTATTCCTTCAATTTCGATTCCTCTAGGGCGAGGATTGGTCTATGGCGGAGGAGAAGAGTGGTGGTGGTGGTGGCGGCGAATCGTCGGGGGTGGTTTTGCCGAAGATGATAAAGTCGGGCGACCGGCAAGTGGTTAGGGTAGAGCTCCGACCTGGTGAGACCACGTACGTCTCGTGGAGGAAGCTCATGAAAGAAGCCGAACGGGTAAATGGATCTTCTGCCTCAGCTTCTGTGTCCGTGCCTGACCCGCCTCCCAATGCCCACCCTAATCTACAGTCTCGCATCGTACCTGTAAGAATCCTTTTTCATTGTCTCTTCAGCTAAACGCGTTTGTATGGAGAATGCATTTCTGTTGTGCTCTAATTACTGCCTTTTAAGTGTCAGCTGGACTCAGTATTTGTGGTGTTCTGTTGAAGATATTTTTTCTCTGAATTTTCTTGAGTATTTCGATTAGTTTTGATAAGAATTGTGGAAAAGTAAGAAAATATTTTGTGAATAGCCGTGGCATTCTGCCAAAATGGGCAAGTTCTTCCTTGCTATGCACTTGTGATACTCAATTGTTTGTGTGCTATTGAAATTTCAGTTTTTAGCTTGCACTACGTGTTATTCAATTGTTATTGAACTTGTTTAGGGACAGCCAGCTCAAAAGGAAGCTAAGGATGAGCCTCATCCTCATCGTTTCAGTGCTGTTATTGAGAAGATTGAGCGCCTGTACATGGTATGTTGTTTTTTCTGTCTGTTATTTGGAATGTTGTATTTTTGCATCACAGGTTTGGGCATTTGCACCATTCAGTATGCATGTGACCCTTTTGGAACCATATATACGTATTGATTAGGAACTCTTTGCAGGGTAAAGATAGCAGTGAGGAGGAAGAGCTAGATGATGTTCCTGATGATGATCAGTATGATACAGAAGACTCTTTTATTGATGATGCAGAGCTGGTTAGTACTTAGATTTGTTACATTTATGTTATCCTGTGTTAGTTGGCTCTCTTGCGGCTGTAATTGGTGTTGTTCATGTTGTAACATGCTTTTTGATGTTACTTTGTTAATTATATGCAGGATGAATATTTTGAGGTTGATAATTCAACAATCAAACACGATGGATTCTTTGTAAACAGGGGAAAGTTGGAAAGGTTGTGAGTTTCTTTAGAGTCTCTTGAGTTTTGATGTAGCATACATCACATAAGAAGTTGCTTAACTCAACAATATTTTCTTTTCGGTTCCTTTCTGTTTGTATTTTGTGAAGAAACCCCCAAAAAAAGAATTTTTTACATGGTAGAAAATCAAGTTACACCAACAGTGCCCAATTATGAGTTCTTTACCGCTAGGTTGATGCAAATTTTACTGAAGATTTAAATCTAAAATAATCTAAAATGATTCCATAGATATTTCTACTTTCTTAATTTTGTTAAAATTACTACTTCCATTTACTTTAGGATTGATCATCAGGAATTTACCATCATCTGTAATTCTTCATTTATGGTTTTTCTTTTGATTGAGGTTGCTAGTCAATGTCATGCATTGTACTTAATCATCTGAAATTTTTAGATTTGTAATATTTATACTTTTTCATGCTGAAACTGTTAAAACTAATTGTTACATTTATTTAAAAGAATGTTATTACGGTGCATCTATTTTGTATGGATGTTAAACTTTAATTGTAAAATTCTTCTAAGTTCTCTTCACTCACATTGTTTTCTTTTCATTTCCCCTTCAAGAAATGAACCTGCTGCAGCACCTAATCAGCAGCCAAAGAAAAGGAGAAGAAAAGATGTGGCAAAAACTCATGGTGAGAGTGCTGAGGGTCGTGTGTCAAATAGGCATGTAAAAACTTCCAAGATGCCTGCAGCAAATGCAGAAACATCGCTTGGGAAGAACTCTTCCAATCCTTCCCAGAATTTGAATGTGATAAATGAACAGTTTAGGGATGTCAAAGGTCAGAACCAATTAGGTGTTTCTGGAATTCCTTCCAGGAAAAAATTGGCTGACACTGAAATGATGTCTGATCCTTCATATTTGAAAGTTTTGAATGGTGATGCGTCTGCATCTATGGCAGATGTAAAGGGAATTGAAAAGCCAATGACTGGAGTTCTCCAGTCAAAGAATATTTCGACTAACAAATTCAATGAGACAGGTGGGTCATCTGAAGCTTTACATCAGACATATATTCATAAAAATGCTTATGCACAACCAAAATTCCAACATGGAAAACCACTTAGCAATGTAGAGCAGCCTGGACCATTAGCTGGAATGAGAGATAAGAATGACATCCGTGAACTGCCTGACCTTAATGTTTCTGAGGGAAGATCTGCCATGCAAACAGCTGTGAGTCTTATTTATTTTAATTTTGTGTAGCCTTGGTTGATGATGACTTCTTAGTCATGACTAGTCTTTCCAAACATGGTGTTTTTTCTTGACATGGGGTGCTTCTGGGCAACCTCCATCCTATGAGCACTAGGATTATGATTCCTGTGTGTACTTTTATTTCCAGTGGTAAAAGCTCAAATCTTTTATTTATATAAAAAATGCATTTTGGAGAATGGAGAGTAGTGGTGCTTTATCAAAGGTAGAGATGTATTATGTTATAGGAATAAAAAGTTATAATTGGATGGTATGTAGACTATGGAAATCAGCCAAGAAAGTTCCTGGCCACCATGATCAATTCTTATGCATGTGCATGTGGTGCAATTAGATGTTAGATTACATATTTCCTGTTTTCCAAATCTGGGCATGTCAGAGAGAGCTTAGTGATAAGAAGCTACATTTTGCCTTGGTATTTAATTCTTAGTTTCTGGCCTCTGATTTTTTATTATATCATTTCAGAAAACTTCACACATGCACCGAAAGGATGGTTCTGCCATTAGGACCAAAGGTTCAATGCTTGAGAAGGCTATCAGGGAGCTCGAGAAGATGGTTGCAGAATGTGAGTATGTTGATGTGTCTTGTACACCATATTAATAAGTATTTCATTGTGAAATAATAAGTTCTCTTTGCTGTAAAAAATCTTACAGCAAGGCCACCTGCTGCGGAAAATCAAGAGGCTGATACTGCAACCCAGGGGACTAAGAGGAGGTTGCCCAGAGAAATAAAGCAGAAGCTCGATAAAGTTGCTAAATTAGCGGTATTTGATGTGCTTTCAAATGATTTTATAGTTTTACAATTTATTCTAATAGAAATGGATAAAGTATATACTTTGAAAATTTTGCAGCTGGCAAGCCAGGGGAAAATATCAAAGGAGTTAGTCAATCGCCTTATGAGTATTCTAGGTCACTTAGTACAGCTCAGAACACTAAAGGTATATCTCTGTTTTAATTAATGAAAATATGACTCTTCAATTTATTTCCCAGATTTTAACTGCTATTCGAATTCTCTTTATTTTTCCCTTTTTTATAAAGTGTATTCCAACTATAGCTGATTGCATCAAGTTGGGGAAGAACATGATTATGATGATATTTTGTTGCTCCTGATCATGCCAGGGAACTTGCCCATTGAGCAATTCTTGCAGCCTTGGAAACCTTTTCTGTGCTTGAGATTTAAATATGAAATCTATACTTTGTCAAAATTTAGATATTTTTATATCTACTTCTAATTGAACTTGATGGTTGATTTTCTGGAGGTCCAAGGAAGATAAGTTGCACTGATTCAACAATAGTAATGTTACCCTTGTAATGTTCATTAGAAGCACATATATATTTCCTCTATGGTTCAAACACCAAATTTCCTGTCTGATAGATGCATTCCATATATTTTGGCTGTTAATCTATGATATTATCTGGGTTGTCTTCCTTTACATGTACAATTATTTGGCTACTTGTGTGGAGGTTTTATTCCATCTTTTCATTTGATACAGAGGAATCTGAAGGTTATAATTAGTAGGAGTTTATCAGCAAAGCAGGAGAAAGATAATAAGTTTCAACAGATAAAGAAGGAAGTTGTTGAGATGATCAAAACTCAAGTCCCCCATCTGGAGTCCAAGGTTTGTGATTAAGGCTGTTAACTCTCTCACTTGGTTGAATTTTCTTCTCATTTATACTTTCTCTATCCTCATCTCGTTTGTCCAGATGCAACAGTTTTTTATTTTGATACTTTGGATCAGTTACAGAAAAATCTTCTTTTCAACCTTTTTCTTTCTATGTTAAAACTTGGGCAGTGTGTCTGTTCTTGCCTTCTGGCCCTGCATATTTTGTATACCTTTGTAGCTCAGCTAATTCCTTTGTGGTTTGTTTAGGTCTGTTTGATGATTTTTTTTTTTTAATAAAAAACTCCTCATCTATTACTTGTTTAGGCATTTGAGCTACAAGCTGGAGCTTCAGATGATTTTCAAGAAATTGGTTCTGAAGAAAAGGGAGCTCTTAAAAGGAAATTTAGCATGGACACAGCCTTGGAGGACAAGATTTGTGGTCTCTATGACCTTTTTGTTGATGTAATAATTTGCCCCTGTAATGAACAATTGTGAAAAAGAATTTCATTTCCATTGGAAAATCATTTTTTTCTGTCTTGTTCATTGCTGTTCATTGTTTGATGGCTACAGGGACTGGATGAAGTTGCAGATCGCCAGCTAGTCAGAAAGCTCTATATAGAGGTTGGTCATTCTGTTTATTTATTTACTTCTGTATTTAAGGTGTAACGTGAAACCCTGGTTAAGGAGGCTGCATAACTCTTTAACTGTTTAATCTAATATAGATATAGCAGCCACTGGGTGATACTTTTTCCATGATCATCTCATAACTTTTTATGTTTTCTTTATGATTCAGCTTGCAGAATTGTGGCCAAATGGTTTAATGGACAACCATGGGATTAAACGTGCAATTTGTAGGGCAAAGGAGAGACAGAGAGCACTGTACAGCAGACATAAGGTATGGAGCATATCACTTGTTTCTTGTTCTCTCTGAAAGAGGTACCTATCTGGTACTTGGTCTGAACATGGAAATCTAATTCATATTTTTGTAATTTTTCCGAATGTTGAACTTGAATTGAGTGAGTGCTACCTGCTCTGTTTTCTTCTTATTGTGGAGTTTGACTTTAATCATGTAAGTGTGATAGAGCTGGCCAAAAGTAAAAGTAAAGTGCGATTGCTATGTTCTGGACCATTGTCTGTGAGATGAATGATGCTATGTAAATGTCTATGCCTATGGAAACAGAGAGAAGATATGCCTTATTTTTATCTTCTGTTTGTTGATGTCTGATTTTTTTTGTGATCATGTCTCTTTTGAAAGGATCAGGAGAAAATCAACAGGAAAAAGATGTTGACAGGAAGATTAGATTTGAATGTTCGAGCTGAGGCAAGTCCGAGTGCTCAGCCACAGCACCTGAAAGACAGGATTGCTACTGAATCTAGTATTCTTGCTTTAACCTCGAATAGCAAGCCACTTCCAAACACAGCTGTGGCCACTGTCCGGATGTCAAGTCCTTCGACCAATGGCTCTAGCTTGGACAGACTAAAACAAGAGAAGTTAAAGGGGAGTCCAAGCAATACCACAGATGATACGAGGATGGCGGATGGTGCCTTAACAAAGAAAAAGGTGAAGAGGAAGCCCGAAGTGGAGTTAGAAGAAACTCACTTCCGTGGATTACCAGCTCAGCAGGGCGACGAAAGATTCAAGTCCATGAAGCCGGCCGCTAGTCTTCCCCAAAAACCAAACTTTCAGCCCAGTGTTCCTCCCAGTTTCGAACAAGGAAACTAATATAATGTCGTTGATTTGGGAAGTTTTCACACCATAAAATTGTGTGACAAGCTTTTCCTTTTCCTTTTCCTTTTTTGATCTTCATAGCAATTTCCATACTTTCTAACCAACTAATTGTTACCGTATCCATTAGCATCTTTGTACCTAAGTGTTTCTGCATAATTCTTATCCTACATAGATTGACAGAAAGCTGTAACGTTTGTGGATTCTATGTACGTGTTTTCCCATTTGAGGTCAAACATTGTCCCCCCTCTTCCCCGTTTTGTATATTTATTTTTTGTTTTTGGTCGTCCATTGAGAAGTAATCCTTTTCTATTTCTGGTTTTATTTCACAAGACTTTTTTATTTTCGGTAGAAATTAGAAAGAGAGTACCACCGAAATACGTTCTGGAAAGTACATGTGGTGTGATGATAAACATATTTTCATGGACCTAAATAATGAACCATTGGGGTCGCACAATTCGCAGATTATGGGACCAAGATGATGTGAAGTTAGCAAATTATATCCCCTGTACTGTTGTACATTCATATACTTTTGAGTTATGTACAAAACTAATTGCGAATTCCATCTATCCAACCTTCCTAATTCTGACCTTGGTAGGTTGTTTTGGTTAGCAACTTTGACACTCCAAATTGAAAGTATTAAATTCAAAATCTGAAGTGGGAAGAAAAACTTTTTTATTTTATTATATATATATATAGAACAAAATTGAGGGTGAAGGGTTTGAACATGTACTTTTAACAGGTATAGGATCATTAAGTCAATGGTCTAAGTATATTATATTTTATTATATAATTTATCATATAATATATATATATTTATAAACCTTTTTTAATTTTAATTAGGTGCTTTTTTTATGACTTGCATGTCAATTAATAAATGATTTCTAAATTCATAATTTTTTTTTATATTTTAAGATCATTAAAAGTGTAAGTTACATAATTATTCAATTATATAAGTGTAAGAAATCATTAACTTTTGTATGATACTATGTGATCAAGTGAATTTGTGACCTAGTAAACCATCCTCTTTGTGAAATTATGCCTGGAAATGAAAGTTCTTGAATTTATTCACAAACACTACTTACAAGCACTACTTTTCCTTTTCTCAACAATTTTTCTAAATTAAAAAAGAAAAAAAATGAAATGACTAATTTTTTATTGTAAGTTGCATAATAAAAATAATTTCCATATTTTTTTTTACCAAATTGAAATTAGTTATATATATATTGATTAAGTGAGAGAAAATAAAATAAAATCCATGCATCACTTATAAAGAGTAAATAATTTTAACTCAGAATTTATATCACTAAGTCAAAACAAATTATTATTTATTTATTTTTTTTTAAATTTAACTACTTATATGTATATTATACAACTCAAATTTATTTATTATTGAGAAAACAAAAGTTGTTGGCGAGAGCAGAGATGGATCTGCTTTTGCTTTACGTTTCACCATTTTATTTTCAATTGCCCATTGTAACGCGGGTAGGAGGAATGGGACTATACAACTGTTGGCTGTTGCGTTTGACCATTTTATTATTTTCACCATTTTATGGTCAAAAACCCATTGTAACGTCGGTGGGAAAGGTGTGTACAACTGTTGCGGACTTATCCAGGCTTTTACAGAACATCACATCAAGAAAACAAAGATCGTAGTCAGAATAAACAGTCAGACTAAGGGAAAGACGCAGGAGTCCAGAAAAACAGAAATAACTGAAACAAACAAGGAAGAAGGAACCCACCACCACCAATAATAATCAAACGATATTATCCACAACAAGATTTATTTTCTCATCCTCAACAATTCCCCCACCCCATATCAGAAAATAGACAAATTTTCTACTTTTCCTTATGGTGGAGGTGGAATGTCTCCTCATGCGACGCGTGGCTGCCGTCGACATGAAACGGCCGTTTCCGGTGGCTGGATTGACACCCCATAAGCTCAATCGGGAAAGCAATGCATTTGAATTCCGTTTTGGGTTCGGATTGAACAAGAAGGAGGTGATGCGAAGGAGGCTCAAGCTTGTTGTGACTGCCGGACTATCCAAGTCCTTCTCGCTCAACTTGGGATTGGATTCTCAGGTATTTCAGCTCATTTCACTCTCTTTCAGTTTTCTTCACTTGGGTTCTGCTTCGTTTCTCTGATGCTTTATTTATTTATTTTTTATTGGCGTTTTGATACTTTGCTTGATCATTGGTGTTTGATGAAATGACCCAGAGAGATGTGGGCTGATTTATTTGCGGAAATTGGTCTCATGTAGGCAAAATTCCTTAGTGTCTTTGATGGCGGAGATGAGGTTTTTGACAGGATATATATATATATATATATATATATATATATTTGTTTGCAAGAGGTTCCAACTGGGGTATGAACTGATGATAAGGTTGTATAGAGTTTTTAGGGCTGTGCTGATATAAAAGTGGAGATCTTTCTGTTTTTGGTGAACATTTTAAATTAACTTGAAAAAAAAAAAAAAAGAAAAAAAAAGAGAGGAAGTTTCTCAATCTTTTCAAGCATCAAGTTGAGCATATTTCTAGTAGTAGACAACAGTTCTTGAAACTTCATCTTGATGTCAAACCATGTATAGGTAATTTAGTTGTCTGATCCCAATGCTTGTACATAATAATAAAATCCACAGGAGAGTCAAGGAGCTATTCTAGTTGCTCTTTGAGATTGTCTTTGCAAGACTACTGTTCTGGATGCCACATTTCTGTCTTGTGATGCTATAGGGATATTTTGGCTTCTTATCTGTGTTTAAATGCTTTAAGGTATGGCAGAGAAGATGATTTTTATCATTCTTGTGCCTATGTATTTTGCTACTTTAATGGGTCTTGCATTAAAATAAGCAGTGATAAACTGTTGTTTCTAATTATATTGTCTTTTTGTTGACTAAAACTGCTTTATGGGAATTGAAGATGGTCCAGTCTCAATCTCATGATGTATCACAGTTACCATGGATTGGTCCGGTGCCTGGGGATATTGCAGAAGTAGAGGCATATTGTAGAATTTTTAGAGCAGCTGAAAGTCTTCATGCTGCTTTGATGGACACATTATGCAATCCATTGACCGGTGAATGTAGTGTTTCATATGATTTCACTCCTGAAGAAAAACCATTAGTGGAGGACAAAATAGTGTCTGTGCTTGGTTGCATGATATCCCTTTTAAACAAAGGAAGAGAGGATGTTCTTTCTGGAAGATCGTCAATCATGGATATGTTTCGGATGGAAGATGCTAGTTTGATTGAGGATAAGCTTCCACCACTTGCTGTTTTCAGGGGTGAGATGAAAAGGTGTTCAGAGAGCTTGCATGTTGCCCTTGAAAACTATTTGACACCTGCTGATCATCGAAGTCTGGATGTATGGAGGAAGTTGCAGAGGTTAAAGAATGTCTGTTATGATTCTGGTTTCCCTCGTAAGGAAAACCATCCTTACCATACACTTTTTGCAAACTGGGAATCTGTTTCTTTTTCTACTTCTGAAGATGAAATAGAGGCAACTGATTCTGAGGTAGCATTTTGGAAGGGTGGTCAGGTAACAGAGGAAGGTCTAAAATGGTTGATTGATAGAGGAGTTAAAACGATTGTTGATCTTAGGGCAGAGACTGTTAAGGATAATTTTTATCTAGCAGCACTAGATGATGCTATTTTGTCTGGGAAAGTTGAATTGATAAAAATTCCAGTAGAAGTTGGGATGGCACCTTCCATAGAGCAGGTTGAGAAGTTTGCATCTTTGGTTTCAGATTATAGCAAAAGGCCCATTTATCTTCATAGTAAGGAAGGAGTGCGGAGAACTTCTGCCATGGTCTCTAGATGGCAGCAGTACATGACTCGCTTTAAATCACAGTTTACCACTAATCAATCTGTCAATCCCAATAACGTATCATCACAAAGGGCAAATGGAACAGGAAAAATACAGGAGCCTTTCATTACAGAGGAAAGGCCCACATTACAAGGGGCAGATGTGTTTCCTCAGGGGGCTTTCAATGGAATTCATTCTTCTAATGGAGTATATAAAAAAGAAGTCTCCTCAGAAAGTGATAATCTTGTCTATGGGGCTAACACTGACCTTTCCAGCCATACATCAGATGATGCATTTATCAATGGGGCAGGACCTACTGGACACATTTTTGAGGATACTGATCCTTTGAAGGCTCAGGTTCCCCCTTGCAATGTTTTCTCCAGAAAAGAAATGTCTAGATTTTTTAGGAGTAAAAAGATCTCTCCTCCAACATATTTTAGTTATCAGCCCAGAAGGCCAGGAAAACTGCCTGTTTCGAGAGAGATTTTCATTAGGACAGGCTGGAGAAGTGAGGTAGTTTGTAATGATACTCTGCCAAACCTAGAAGAGAGAGAAAATCTCAATGGTTCATTTAAAGGGAAAAATCAAGATCAGGAAAATCAAAGTCTAGTTACTGGCAATGAGAAGTATATGAGTGGTGCTGGTTCTATTGTCATTAATCCAAATGTGAACGGATTTGGTGAGAGGGAAAGCTATACTTTGACTGAAACTAATGTCACTACTTTAAGTAAGAACATCGATGAGCATGTCATGTCTACATCTTTTAGTGAGAGTCAGAAGAGCAATGGTAAGCCTTCCTCAGTTTGTGATGATGATGACTTGCGGTCCATTGAAGGAGATATGTGTGCTTCTGCAACTGGTGTTGTACGGGTGCAGTCAAGGAAGAAAGCAGAGATGTTTTTAGTGAGAACAGATGGATTCTCCTGTACCAGAGAAAAGGTAACTGAAGCCTCCTTAGCCTTCACTCATCCTAGTACCCAGCAACAGATGCTCATGTGGAAGTCTACACCAAAGACTGTATTATTATTGAAGAAACTAGGGCAAGAACTCTTGGAAGAAGCAAAAGAGGTACCATTGAAAACATATTATCATGTATCAAGTAGAATTTGATTTGAATTTGTACCCTTCTATTTCTTCTTGCATTTGAACTCATTTCTAATTCATGCCACTTGGATGAAAAATGGTGGGTAGAGCTGGGAATTGCTTGGTACTGCTCTATTCCTTATTTTTGCAAAGTCATATTATAATGCATCCAGTTTCTGGGTTGCAAACACACTTATTAGTCTCCTAAACTGTGGTTCCATGGTTGCTTAATTAGTTTTTGCAAATGTGGATTTGCTTGTTGAATTTTAATTTTTATCATGAATTGATAGCAATAAAAATATCAGAGTGACATTTGCAATAATTATAGGAAATGAGATATTGTTGAACAAAGGGTTATATAGGCTTCATCAGTCAATTCTTCAATTTGTATCTAGCTATTCCATTCACTTTTGTTTATGATTTACAGGTTGCGTCGTTCTTATATTACAAAGAGAAAATGAACATACTCGTTGAACCAGAAGTGCATGACATATTTGCTAGAATTCCAGGTTTTGGATTTGTTCAAACCTTTTATAGTCAGGATACCAGGTACTTGAACTTTATGTTCTATTGTCCAGCAGAGGTGATGTTTAGTGTTTAGGAATTTACTTGTTCTATGTCCTTATGGCAGTGATCTCCATGAGAGGGTTGATTTTGTGGCATGCTTGGGGGGTGATGGGGTTATATTGCATGCATCAAATTTGTTTAGAGGTGCTGTCCCTCCAGTTGTATCATTTAATCTTGGATCTCTTGGATTTCTCACTTCTCATAACGTAAGTTTCTAAACTGTATGGTTTCTGTAACTTACAATCTAATCTTCTTGTAAATGGGATATTTTTTTTTAGTACCTCTTTTATTTTCTTTTGGTATAGTTTGAAGACTACAGGCGGGATTTGAGACAAGTGATTCATGGAAATAACATAGTTGAAGGTGTCTACATAACTCTTAGAATGCGACTCCGTTGTGAAATTTTTCGAAATGGCAAAGCAGTGCCCGGGAAAGTATTTGATATCCTGAATGAGGTTGTTGTGGATAGGGGTTCTAATCCATACCTTTCTAAGATTGAATGTTATGAACACGACCGGCTTATAACAAAGGTGAGGTTAGTGACTCTATTTCTAAATAAAAGGGAAAGGAATTCCTTAACTTTCACATGTGCAGTGACCTATATATTTTCTCTCAAGTAATTTGACATATATTGTAACCAACATAAGCAATTTTGTTTATGCTACATTCCTTGCAAAAATATATTATCTAGAACAAAGATGATTGAAAAATTGTCACGTTATTTATGATATTCCCATGGTTTCATTTAATGAATACTGCACCTTCAGGTGCAAGGTGATGGAGTTATAATAGCCACACCTACAGGGAGCACTGCTTACTCTACTTCTGCTGGAGGTTCCATGGTAAGATTGTCTTTTTGAGTTTCAGGCAGATGATATCTTTTTTACCTGAAGATCATACAGATATAGTAATTGGAACCTAGAAAGAGCTGTTTAAAGTATAAACCTTTATTTCCCAATTTTGTTCTGTTTCCCTCTATATGAATATTATTTATAACAAGTTTTGTCCTTTCTTCATTTCTGAGTTACAACTTACTAGGAAACCTGTTCACTGCTGAGTCATGATCATGTCCAATAAATACAGAATCCATAACAGTTCCAGAAACTCTTTCAAAGATGATATTGCCTGTTTGCTCTATGTATGTTGCTTGAATAATCAGCTTTATGGACAATGTGACTGCTCTATCCTCTTCTGCTGTGTTGAAACTCTTATAAATAGGTTGAACACTGAAGATAACTAGTTTTCTTCTTTTTTTGGCCAATCGATAATGAGTAGATAACTAGTTCATTGTAAACAGAATAGTTAAAGAACAACCAGCATATATGTTGTCAGTGTTTTTATCTTCTGAACAAATTAACCTATTGGCATTTGCTGCACATAATATCAGTCTCTTTGATGCGGTGATAATGATAGCTGCAACTTGAAAAAAAAAAATGTTAAAATATCTCATTAAATAAAGGTTTTTGTTGACGATCTACTTCAAGGATTTAATCTTTGATGTTGAACTGCAATTTTGGACTCTCATGGTCTCTCATTGAAAAATCAGCTTAAATTATTTTGTTTTCAGTTGTTCCTGATGTACCTGAAAAGATTAATTGAGTGATTGCTCCTATTGCCAATTATACCCATAATTTTTTTTGAATGAAAAATGTTGTATATTATGCAAGTAACAATAGAGATTTGGTAATGCAGGTTCATCCAAATGTTCCTTGCATGCTTTTTACACCAATCTGTCCACACTCCCTCTCATTCAGGCCGGTTATTCTTCCAGATTCAGCAAGGCTTGAATTGAAGGTAAAATGCTTCTTATTTAAAAATACCACTCTGTGGTAGAAAGAGGGATTTACAGTTGTCATTTATCTCAATCATGGTGAGTTTGAAGCATGTTATTGGCTTTGTGATTTCACAGATTCCAGAGGATGCTCGAAGCAATGCATGGGTTTCTTTTGATGGGAAGAGAAGGCAACAACTCTCAAGGGGGGATTCTGTCAGAATATCCATGAGCGAGCATCCCCTTCCAACAGTCAACAAATCAGACCAAACCGGTGATTGGTTCCACAGCTTGGTTCGCTGCCTAAATTGGAACGAGAGACTAGATCAGAAAGCCCTGTAATGTCTCTAAAACTGGATGCCATCTTTCTCCATCATCAGCTCCGGAAACAGGTTTGTGTAAATTACATACTGTACATAACTACATATGTAAAATTGGAACAACCATAGAAGGTTGAATATAAATAAGAGTAAATGTATTCACTGCCAACATAGGCTCCTACTTGAGATTAGGTTTCACCATTTTTCTCTTTCACTTATAATTGTATAATTTTTTTTTTTTGATACTATTCCCTAATATTCAAAAGTTATATTAGGCCCTAACTAATTCAGAATCAAACTGTGTCAAACTAATAGAGAAAAAAACTCTACTAATATCTTTTTTTTTTTATTCACAAGATTCAAATTCGAAATTTTATTTAAAAAGAATCGGTTTCTTTTTACTCAGATCAACAGGTCATTGGTACTTATAATTATATAATTACATAGATAATTTACTTTCTTAAATAAAAAATTGGAATTCATCTTTAAAGCAGCAAATGTAGTTAAGACAATGAAACAATACCAGTAGGACTCTTTTTTTCCTTTCTTTTTCAAAGCCATGATGGAAAAATTGGATAATACCATCTCAATCTTTCCATTACATGGCTCTCACTGCCTGGAATCTTGGTTCTTTGGGCTGGAACTTCTGTTCAACGTAAACAGACATGTAATCCCCGAAGATAAATTTGGGGTATGTTTGATGTGCTTCCTGGTTTGCTTTCTCCACCAGCTGCGGCGCAGGTGCTATGGTGGCCTTCATAGATGGATTATAGAACGAAGCAATGGACCTCCTATTCCCATCTGGGGTGGCCAAAACTCTGTGCCAAACACTCTTGTATTGACCGTTGCTCAGCACCTCTATTTGGTCCCCGGTGTTGATGACAATGCTGTTTGGCAATGGCTGGACGTCAATCCACTGGCCGTCT